ATATGGATTTTAGACATAGATCTGGGGAGTGCCAGCCTACAATCCTATTGCCAGAGTGTCTGGGAAACAGAAACTTCATTTACTGGCTGGTTAAGTACTGAGCTGAACTCAAGAAAGCCAGTATCAGAGAGGGAGGACTGATGATCAAAGGGATTAAGACTGGGCTGGTTGAACCCCCAGAAACAGCTGACCAGACAAAGGTTAACTCTTGAATCCCAGGCATCAGCCTGGGAATCCAGCATGGGACTGATCAAGACCCCCTGAATCTGGGTGTCAGTGAGGAGGCCTAGGTAATCTATTGAGCCTTGGACAGCAGATCAGTACCCATCCCAAGTACACACACGGTCTCTGGACTCCCATAGAACAATGTGAGGTGCACTCTCACCCTGAACTCTTGGGGAAGGGTCTAGGCCCTGCCCTATATGAAATGACAGACTATGGACACCCCCATGGAGGGCCTCACCCTCCCTGGGGGAAAGAGGGGATAACGGGGGGGGGGGGATGGGGGGGATGGCACGGGAGGAGGGGAGGGAAAGGGAGAGGGACCTCGTACTGACTTGTGAAACAACCTTGTTTCTTATCTAAATTTAAAATGGAAAATAAAAAAATATTAATAAAAAAAAACTTGAAAAAAAAAAAGAAATAAGATTAACACATTGGTCAGAGAACTTGCAATAGACTTACCTTACACACATGATTCTATTTATTTTATTAATAATTTACCATATTCCTGACTCTTATATCTTATAATTCAATAATCCATTTTGAATACAATTCTGTTGTTTATTCCATATAAAACACTACACAAACTGAAGAGATTTCACTGTTTAATATTTATTTGTTAAAGAAATAAGTGTATACAGTAATGTACATGTAGTTATCTTGATTTAGTCATTCAATAATGTGTCCCTATATTATATCATTACATTGTATCCTGTAAACTGATAGAAAATAAATAAAATTTCTTCTAAAGTAAAAAAAAAAAAGAGTGATAGGGGGTATCCTTCTGTATATTGTAAATATATGTTTCTCTTATTGGTGATGAATAAATGCTGATTGGCCAGTAGCCAAAAAGGAAGTATAGGTGGGACTACCAGACTAGGAGAAGGATAGGAAGAGCAGGGCAGAAAGGAGCCACCAGAGAGCTGTCATGTAGCTATTGGGAAGATAGAACACACAGAGATACACAGATCAATAGAAATGAGTTAATAATTAAGAAAATGTTAGCCAATAAGAAGCCTGAATCATCAGTCAAACAGTTTATAATTAATATAAGCCTCTATTTTTTTGGGACTAAACAGCTTTGGAATCAGGTGGAACAGAAACTTCTGTCTACATAGGAGTCTCATCAGTTTTTCCTGCATTAAGGGTTCTGTGTGTAAGGCGTCAGAAATCTCTACAATATTCTGTCATATTCAGTAGCTACATAAGACTAGTCTGACTAAATTAAGGAAAGGTAAATAAAATAAGAAAGGAAGGTTGTCAGTAGCACTAACCACAAAAAAAAAAAAAGAGTGACACTCTTCAAGAGAAAAATATGCTTTGCTTGTGGAAGTGAAAGTCATTCTTTGGTGAAAGAAATTCATGTAACAATAACACTCCATGAGTCAGAGATTATATTCTGCAGCTTTGACATGAAACAGAGAATGGATGGCTTCTGCCATTGGTGGAAATTGAAGAGAGCCTTTCAGGGCACTAAACATGACCAAAGAATAGAAACCAAGAACTTCCAAAAATAATACAATGAATCAAAACATTCTGTGAACTCATAAAGTATGTCTTCTCACACATGGATTCCTATCAGAGTGTGTAATGTTATGCTAGAAATAGTAAATAGAACTGGATTGTTTCCCTTTCATTACCTGAACTGTTCAATTATGTGCAATTCCATATACATGCCATAAGCAGTCTTCCCATCTCGCTTTTAATTTTACTGGCAACAGTTTCTTGCCAAAAGCTAGAGGAGTCCATGGAATAGGAGAGTGGGTGTGGGTAGAGATTTCAGAATTGGTTCAGACTTATTTTAAAGGCTGATATCTCACACAGCTCATGGAATCTTATAAGTTGAGGGAAATCTCTGCTTGGAATCCTGTGTGCTTCCTGATGCTATTTACTTCTGTATCTCACCATGATTAGTGTTAAGTATGCTAGGTGTGTTGTACTTGCCATTCTGATAAACATAACATCCATGTGAGAGTCTACAAGTATTTATATATTTCATTTTTCTCTTGACATATTAAGCAATGACAGAAAAAAAAGAACTCCAGGTAATCTCACTCTCAGTAGTGTTCAGAGATGAAATCATAGCCTCTGAGGATCACTTCCCACTTATGAAGTCAGCCACAGAACTTCTCTTGAGTGGGATTTTAGTGATGTTTATTTGATGCTTTTGTTTTGTTTCACATTTGACACTAGAGGGGACAAAATCATGTTCAGGAATGTTGAGTAAGATCCAAATTCACACAGCTAATAAAAGGTAGCTAGAAGATGGACTTGAAGCTGTCACAAGAACTTGTTTTTGTTGTTGTTGTTTTTGTTTTCCTACTACACTACATCACGTTTCCCCTAAACAAAAAGAAAAAAACCCTCAGGGGAATAACCTGACAATGGCAAAAGCAATATGTGCCAGGAGTCTGCATCAAACAGAAGGTGCCCCAAACTTCCCACACCCTTTGGTCCCCTCTCATCATGAGATCTGCCTGCCCTGTAAAAGTTGTTCCCTTAGACATGCCTTTCATGGGATATTCAATCACACTGTGAACTCTTGAGTTTGTGTTTGAGTTAATTAAATAAAATAAACCTTGGGTCAGGAGGCCAAGTTAGCAACTAGCTGACAGAAAGTAATCACAGAGGGTCACAGGATGTCAGTAGATGATCAAGAAGTGCACAGGAAGCAGCAGGGAGGGACTTTGTTTAGGCAGAACAGCAGGAAGCTCTTTCAGACAGAGGTCAGCTACTTGCTACTCGGCCTCTCTGAGCTAGCAGGTTTTCACCCCAGCCTTTCAGCTCTAAGTCTCATTGATAACTAGAATGATGGAGATTTAATTAAAAGTTATATTTGGCAGCAGTGACTTAGACAGCAGTAGCTCAAAGTGCAGCCTCTGTGCCCGTGGAGAAACAACAAGTGCCTGCCATAGGCTGGAGAGATAGTTCAATGGTAAGGTGCTTACCCAGTTTGTCCAAAGCCTTGGGTATGAGTCAAAGCACCACAAAACAAAGAGCAGCTCCGGTTGCACCCAGACACCAACACCAAAGAAGTGGTAAGGAGCAGATGAGACAAGAGGTTCTACAATAATTTTCTGAAGTCTGTGAACCAATCATCTTTTTGCACTGTTCTGCAGAATAATGGTTCCTTTCTACTGTTGCAAGTGTTCACATGTGATCTGATAGTATATAACTGTCCCTTCTGCAAATTGATGCACAAAGGGGAAATTCTACCCCCTACCTTTAGACTCACAGTGCTTGCAAAAATGACAACTGTTGCATAAATGATGCATTGATTTTGGCAAAGTCACACTCAGGTTGTTAAAAACAAAATGAAATATGTGCCATTGGATTTCCTCAGCAGAAAAATTCCCGGTCACATATTTATCTCCTTACAGCACTGCCCCTTTATACCGTTTCCTTTTCATGACTTGTTTTATGGATGGAATGTAACACTTGACAATACTCCCATTCCCATAATCTTCTCACAGAGCTCTTTTCCTGTAACCCCTGGCAGCCCCTGAAGAGAAGTCCTCATTTCTTACTGTTTTTAAATTCGCTTCCAGCCCTGTCTCAGCCTGTGCACAAAAGTTAAATTCACCATGGAATTGTTTTCCTTGTAAATGGGAAGCATATACTGTGAATTAGCAGAAATGCAAAGAAGAGGCTGAGGGAGTCAGAAGTTACTTCTCACCGTTGCATAGGAGACCCCAGAACCTCTCCGAGAAGAATGGGGAAAATGTGAAACTCGAGCCAGAGAACCATAGTGCAATCTGTGTGGCGTGCTTAACTGTTTAAGGGAACTCTCTCACTGTGTGACAGGGTTCAGGGGCCCCTAAGACTGAGAAGTTTGGAGTGTAGAACTGTGTATTATCTTCGAGGAAACCAAATGAGGATTATCACGTATTTGAAAGACAAACAGGAAAAGCAGCTGTCCAGGGTGTCGTGCCCAGTGTGGGACTACAGCATCAAGCAAGGACGACTCCAGGAAGCAGGCACAGGTGGGAAGCAAGTGCAGCCCCAGAAGAGGCAGCCAGAAACCGTACTGGCTCCTGGGTGAACACAGTACGGTGGGGGGGGGCGGTAGGCGCTGTGCTCCTTACTAAAACAATCTGAAGGGCATACATGCATCTAGAGCATGTTCTTGTAATAGTAGCTACATTACAGTTACAAAGTAGCAACAGAATAACTGTATAGTTGGGAGTCAACCACAAATTAAAGGATCGCAGCATTAGGAAGGTTGAGGACACTATTTACAGAGAGGCATAGAAAAGACTAAGGAGGAAACATTGTCAGGAGCATAAAGGGCTAGCAACCTGCAGTTTCTTATGTGAATGGTATCAAAACAGATGAGTTTTTAAAACAGTTTTTAGTTCCTTATCCCCCCGCCCCTGCCACCAACACACACACACACACACACACACACACACACACACACACACACACACACTTCTCAGTTTTTCTGTGATCTTCCATTTACTGAGATCCAATTGTAGGCAATTGCTAAGCACAAAAGTAAGAAGTCGAATTATCATCTTGTTTGGTAAAGTTTCACAGTGGAAGGGATGTAAATGCTAACATTGTCTAATCACACAATTTATTAATGATTTTAAAACTCGTCAGAAGGAAAGCCAATGGCATTATGAGTTAGTAGTGGCTATTTCTCACCCACTTCTATTAGCAATGATTTTTTTCCTCAGAAATAAGGGAGGGAGGGGGAGCTCTATAGTTCTTAAGATTTTTTTTCTTTGCAAAACCTGACCAAAAGTTTCACACAATTGTGGGCTCAGTCTTACCTTGGCGATCTTGTCTGGATTTCTCTCTTCAGCAGCTGCAGATTTTCCTCTTTGCAGAGCTCCTGACCTCTTTTTATTACCCAGAATTTGGCAGAGAACCAGATAGTCTTAGAAGGGAGATGTGGGAGGCAGGATTGGGGCCAGTTTTTCTCACTTCTTTTCAAAAAGCTAATAGCATTATTCTTTTCAACAGTATTGTTGACATTCTGTCACCATCTAATATTCAATGATTTCTGCCTCCCCTTCTGCCTTTTCTCTATATGTTGGTGGGGGCAGGGGGAGGGGCAAGGTCTTGCTGTCTATCCTAGACTAGCCTTTAATTCAGGCCCTTCCCAACAGCCCCCAGGGCTGGAACTACAAGGCCACCACACCTGCTCTTCTTCTCTGTCTTGACTGTAAATTTTAATTTTCAGTGATGGATTTCATGTGCCCTCCCCTTCTCCCAGACTCATGCCAGAATTATCTCACATGTAACTCTCCTCCCATCTTCATGTCCTAATTCTTTCTCTGCCCCCACCCTTCACAGTTTGGCTCGTGAATTCCAAACTTGTAAATGAAACCACAAAGCTTTGCCTTCAGCACTGTAACTATTGGTGATTTTTGGTCTTTGTATTACACTTTTTCCACCAGCTGATTTTGAAATCTTAAGATGTCACTTTTTCTTTTAAAATTCCTTTATAATAAAGTCATTCCCTGTTGGGTATCAGAACTATGCAGCTTATCTACAAACAAAAGCTCTCAGAGCTCCATATATCTCAACATAGCTGATCTGCCTCCACACTCTATCCACAGAGCAATTAAGCTAGTAATAATAATGATAACAGAAAGGAAAGCAAACACCAGTGGTTTGAAGAATCGACTCCAGGAAAGAAGAAAAAAAATCCTTCTGGCTACCTAGCTAAGGTGATTATTTCCTAGGATATAAAATTACCATTAAGACAATACAAATCTGTGGTTCCCTCATAGACCAAACAAGCTGGCTTGAAGAAAAAAACATAAAGACACGTTTCTAAGGATAAGTAGTGTTTACCTTCTTGCATGAAAACATCATTGCACAGAGACGGATCTGGAGTTGAAGGAGAGCCACGTTCCTTGCCCTTTCAAAGGGACCCATATACTTTTCCCTCAGCCACTAAGCAGCACCAGGAACAGATCTCTAGTGACAGCCATCCTCGGATGGCAGCTTGCCAGAATGGATGAACTAGGAGGAGTGTGCACTGTATGGTGTCAAGCAGAGGGTGGTATGTTTTAAGAAAGGAACAAGAATGCCAGGTCACAATACCTTCAGTTTTGTGAGGAGATGTGACTGGATGGAGAGAACAGGAAGAGAGAAGCATGATAGATGGGGGACCTTCTCAGAATGCCAAGGCTCCCCACAGAGGAGGAAGAGTACCATTCAGGCCTACGGGTGCCTGTTACAGTCAACTCAAAAGTCGCTGCATTTTGGCTCTGAGTGAACATGGTCTGCTGCTATTTAGCCCTCTTTTCTAAGGGGAGTCTCTTAGAAAAATGAGCATTTCTCTGTAGGCAATCTCATGACATGATTTTTAGTTGTGTTTCCATACTTTATTTTCACCAGTGAGAAACAGAAACCAGATCCAAATGAGACAAAGGACTGTTTTCCCCTTCTCACATTCAAATTTTCCAATCTTTCTGTCCTCCCTTGGGAGAGACTTGATGACAGATCCCATCTCTTTTAGGTAGACCCCAGACAGCACTGTCCCAAAGAAGAGTCTTTGTGTACAACTGGCCAGTTTAGCCAGTCTTAGCAGTTAGACTTTCTGAGAGTCAGAAACATTTTCTAAGATAATTAAAAAAAATAGAGTGTGGCCTGAACTCATATTGTAATAATGGACACAGCCCATCATGACAATCAATAGCTAAGGAGAAGGGCAGAAGAAAAAAAAGAACTTTTTATAAACAAAATTCAACAAAATGTCAAAAGAAATACATTCATGTGGTCCATAAGCCAAAAGACTTTTGGGATTCCATTTTCACTTAACACCACCAAGAAATTAATAGATTTTGTGGGACGGGGAAGAAGCTGATGATTTACTGCACAGATACAAAGTGAAGAAAGAGGGAGAGAGAAAGCCTTTTGGAGAAAACATCTGTCAAGATTATTTTCAGGGACTTGGGGAACAGGTGGGAAGGAGAGAGTCATGATGAGGGGATGGAGGGATGCTTCTGTGATTACAAATGGGTACTGTTCTTGCAGAGGACCCGAGTTGGGTTCCCAGAATCCACATCAGGTGGTTCACAACCAACTGTACTCCAGCTCCAGGGAGGGCATCTATTGCCATCTTCTGGCCTCCTCTAGATCCTGTACTCATGTGGGCTCTCTCTCTCTCTTAAAATTTTTGTTTTTAATGTGTTTGAATTGTGTGTGTGTGTATGAGTGTGTGTGCGTGTTACACACATAGTATGCTGATGGAGACCAGAAGAGGGCATTAGAGCACTGGAAGTGGAGTTATATATAGTCAGAAGTTGACACGTGGGTGCTAAAAATCCAACCAAGGTCCTCCAGAACAGCAGCCAGCCCAGCATCCCGCCCCTTAATTTTTGAAATAAATAAACAAGAACCTTTAAAATACATGAAAAATACTAAAATAAGTTGTGAAACAAGTAAATTAGAGGAGAATTTAATAAAAGTAAATTACTCATCAAAATACCACATATAGCTAAGCATAATGGTGCACGCCTTTAATTTCAGCACTTGGGAGGCAGAGGCAGGTGAATCTTTGTGAGTTCGAGGTCAGACTGGCTTACATACTGAGTTCCAGAACAGCTAGGGCTACATATTGAGACCATGTCTCAGGAGGGAAAGATCAAGCTCTACCCATCATTGGAAGCCTCATGCCTATTCTAGTTACAGTGTAGAAAAAAGACTTTAAGTGAGGTTCCTCATTTATTTCTTTGCTGCTTCAATAAAACACTAATCAAAACAAACAAAGGAGGAAAGGCTCTATTTGGCTTACAAGTTAGAGTCGTCCATCATGGAGGGAAGCCAAGATAGGAACTTGGAGGCAGAGACCATGGAACAGTGGAGCCATGCTGCTTTCTGGATTGCTTCCCATGGCTTGCTCAACCTGCTTTCTTATACAGCCAGGACCACCTGCTTAGGTATGTCACTTCCCACATGATTGGCCTACAAGACAATCTTATAGAGGCCCTTTCTCAAAAAGGTTCCTTCTTTCTTGAAGGTAGCTTATGTCAATAACACTGAATATTTTAGAAAGGATTTCAATTAGAAGGCAATCACAATAGTCTAGAAGTGATGACAAGGACCTATACCAAGGCATTTTTTGTTTGCCGTACATTTTGAAGACAGAATAAGCAGGAATTTTTTTAAATTGGAGGTTAAAGAAGAAAATGGGCCTCATCAAGCTCCAGCAATGCCATGTGGCATAGGATATCGTTGACTGAGATTGGGATCAATAGGTAATGATAACGTTGTGACATAAGGAAAGAGAGTCTGGAGTCCTTTTGCAGACAGCACTGATTTTAAGTCTCTACTAGATACATGTAAGTGGAATGGAGTTTGGCATTTGTGTGGTGTTGTCACTACTCAATGGAAAAACCACAAGGCTTGTTGAAAACGGGTCAGGGAAGAAGCCAAGACTGAAAAGAGCAGAGACATGAAGATCAAACCCTGAAGCATTTCAACATAAGGAATTGGGAAAAGCTGGAAAATCCAGCTGCTAAGGCAAGGAAGAGGCACTAGTGAGATAAGAATAAGGCCAGGAACATGTGGTGTTCTGAAAATTAAGTATTTGTGGGCTTTCAAATTTGTGGAGGAGTAAAACCTCTAAGTATTAAGAGAAATTTGCAGTTAAAAACAATATTTTGTAATTTGTTCTGAGATTTTGAATAGGATGGCTATGGTGCTGAGAGGTTGGGCGGTTACGAAACAATTTTGCCAAAAAGAATGCAGTTCTGGAGGATCTTCAGGTGTCATTAGGGAAAACGGGTTGCTTTGAGAGTGCTGGTCACAGTCAGTGGATCTGAGAGCAAAGAGGAAGTGTGCTGATGCAAGTGGAATGATGGGGGACACCGGGTCAGAATGTTTGGGTAGAGTCTCCACGGATATGTATTCGTTTACTTTTCTCATTGCTATAACAGAATTCTTGCAAGAGGCCACCTAAAGAGAAGTTTATTTTGGCTAACAGTTTCAGACATACAGTCCTTCCTAGCTGGGAAGGCATGGAAGCTGGAGGAGTTCAGCCCATGAGGCCAGGACTGATTCATATCATGGTGGCTCAGGAACAAGAAGGAGTGCACTAGATGTCAGAGCATGATCCATTCCCCTAGGCGGGTACCACAGTCTCCCAGTGTACCAGCTAAGGACTGTGTGCTTAAATATATGACCCGGTGGGAGCATTTCAGATCCAAACCACAAGATGCAATACACTTTTGAGTAAGCGAATGTTAGACCCATCCACTATTTTTAAAAATGGAGACAAGGTACATGGCATCATGCAACATAGGCTATCAATCTGGGTATAGTTTCTGTAAAATTCTGTTTGCTTCTGCATTGCCTAGAGAACTAAGAATGAGGCTGGTAGAGAGGCCATTCAATGTTTGCATTGAAAGACTAGAACAGAACTGGACCAGAGATGTATCTTGGTTGGTGGAATGCATGGCTAGCATGTACACAGCCCTGAGTTCAATCTCCAGAACTACAGAAAACTGGGTATTATGGCACATGCTTGTAATCCCAAGGAAGATAGAGGCAGGATGGCTAGAAATTCAAGGTTACTCTTGTCTATATAGCAAATTTAGTGTCAGGCTGGTCTATGTGAGACCCTGTCTTGAAACAAAAAGCAAGCAGACAAAAAAGAACAGAGAAACCCTCTGAATCGGGTGTCAGTGAGGAGGCCTAGGTAATCTATTGAGCCTTGGGCAGTAGATCAGTACCCATCCGGAGTATACAAATGGACTTTGGACTCCCATCCAACAATGTGAGATGCACTCTCACCCTGAACTCTTGGGGGAGGGTCTAGGCCCTGACCTGGATGAAATGACAGACTATGGACATCCTCATGGAGGGCCTCACCCTCCCTAGGGAAATGAGGGGATAATGGGGGGAGTTGGGGGGAAGGGCACGGGAGGAGGGGAGGGAAAGGGAGAGGGACCTGGAACTGACTTGTGAAGCAACCTTGTTTCTAATCTAAATTTAAACTTAAAAATAAAAAAAAAACTGAAAAAAAGAACAGAGAAGAATAGGATAGTTTTCTGAATCTTGAAAAGTTGACCAGGAATATATAAGATTCTGGGCAAGCCTGAATACCACTGACATTTAGTC